TATCATTACTTACTCTACTGGTTGTGACCAAGAACTTCAGCCCACCCACTTCATTCATTCATATATATATATATATACACACACACACGCGTGCGCATGGACACGTGCGTGCACATGTGCACACAGCTTGCTGCATCTGCTCAATAGCCAAACCCTCTGGTCCTGCCTCTTCTGTGTATGTTTACCATACAGAGCTGCCAGTGCCATAGACTAGATTTCAGTAAAACAGTTTATGAGGTTGTGAGTCTTATTTTGGATTAAGTTGTAGTTTTCCTATTTTGGATAGTGTGACACAGAATCCACATAACTACTGTATTTTTCCGACAATAAGACGCCCCCATGTACAAGACGCCCCCCATTTTTCCAGCCCAAAATTAAAAAATCAGTATTTTAAAGATAGTGCAGAACACATTTTTATTTAGTAATTAGTTAACTCTAATTGGTTTGTTCAGCATCAGCTGACGTCAGGTACATCAGGCTGGTGATTGGAGGAAGTCTGCTTGGGAGACAAGCTATTTCACTCGTGATTGGAGGCTAGCAATAGGAGGAAGCCTCTCTGCAGAAACAAAGTATAGGCAGTTTGGAACCGCGCAATTCTCGGCTGACTTCCTTGAATAAGACGCCCTTCAGTTTTTAGGGTAAGGATTTTAGAAAAAAGTATCATCTTATAGTCGGAAAAATACGGTAGTTCCTTTTAACATGGTTTATTACAAACTCACCTTATCCCTTTGATATCAGTTGGTGAAGTGTGATGGGGTATACTTTTATGCCCTACATACTTTCTGCTTTCTTCAACCTCTGTTCCCTCCCTCTTCCCTGCTTACTTCAAACTCCCTGGTTAATGAGAATATGTACTGTAGGTAGGTGTTTCATGACCCCATGTGTACAAACGCTGGAAACAATTCTCAACATTCTGAGAGCTGAGTGCACCTGGCTGCGTTTGAACACAGTAACATAAGCTATCCTCTAAACAGGAATAGAATTTACAGTCAGATAGGCAGAACAAGGTGCACAGATAATTTGGAGATAGTTAATTTTATCTATGTGAAATTCTGAAATTAAAATGTGGTTTAAAAAACCATACCATGCTGATGAACCCTCATAGCAACCACCGTGCTTTCAGAAATTATGAGCATTACTGCAAATGTCAAAGCCCCTCTCTCCACAAAAAGTCAAAAGTGAAACACATGGAATGTTCTCCTTTTTCTTTTGGATCTTTCTGATTATGTGGATTCTCTCTTAAGAGAAACATGAATAAACATGTAAGAGATAAACACCATCTGATAACTACATTATAATGATAGTCTCTGGATTTCCCATTATGATCATTTGCTAATGTTCATTTAAAGAAATGTATGGAAACAAAACAGTCATTAACTCAAGACGCAAGATGACAAATGGCAGCCTTGTTTATTAAAGCAGAATCACAGCATTGTCTCCATCTCCTTCTTCAGTTGAGTGAAGACCCCTGAAATTTACAGTATTAACAATATAGAGATGGAGGGCAAAAAAGGAGTCAAGTGTTTTTCATCAAAATAAATTATCTACATACAGGATTTTTCTTAACATCTAAAAATGTAGAAATTCCAAACTCTGAGAAAACAAAAATTACCTTAAGAACTTCCATTATGTACAAATATTATAAAAACCTTACAGACTATCAACTTATGCAAAATTCCTTTTCAAAAATTAAAAGCTTCTTTACAAAACTGTGAGCAAAACTGCAGTTATTTTGTCTGTAGCTTTCTTTACAAGGAGGAAAATGTTATTTTTTAAATCAATGATAAATTTGTAATAAACTTAATAAAGTCTTCTAAATGAGTAACATTATTTCCTCAGAACAAGGAAATGCTGGCTATTCCTAAAAAGTAAAAGTAATTGTAGTGCACTCTTTGGTAACAAAAAGTTAGTTACTGTTGGATCTTTCAAGTGGTATGTTATTCAAAGCTCTTCTCCCTTTTGATATACAAAAGCTGATAACAATGCAATTCTACACAGATTAATTGAAAAGGAAAAAGTACTCTTCACAGTTCCATGGTTCTGGAAGTTCTCAAATGTTGCACTTCCTTTAAAATTGAAACATTAATTGCTGTTTGTTTATTAGGTTTCACCTGAATCTCTGTACGTCCTCATTACAACCTTGCAATATTTATTTTAGGTCTCCAAAAGGATACCTCAAGCTTTATTCAGAGAAACCACATAGAATGGCTTCTGAAAACCAAGCAGATGGGTTGTTAATGTGGCTGCGCAGCAGTCACTTCTGGATCACAATGGTGTTTTTTCCAGTTGGAATCTTCAAAATTTAATCCCAACTCTTGTTATATTATTATGATATGGTTAGATCATCAGAGGAGACCAGATCACATCAGAAGCAGCAGTGGGACAATGCCAGTCCTGCTAACAAATAGGCTGCATATTTCTTTCTAGTGGTCCCTGCTGAAAGTTTACTAGGTTTCATAAATATAATACTTAACAAGTTACTGCCACCTGTACCACAGAAGCTTCCCATTTTTTTTTTTTTTTGCAGGCTTACTTAGTTTTTTACACCCTCAAAAAAGAAAAAAAAGCATGCTCAATCTAGAATCCAAGAACTGTCATTACTATTATTATTGTTATTAAGGCTTTAATGGAGAGGTCTGGTTACTAGTTTCTTTTAAACAAAAAAGTCAGTCCAATTAAGCTGAGCAGAATATCAAT